ATAGATAGATAGATAGATAGATAGATAGATAGATAGATAGATAGATATTTCATGTATGCAAGTAAAGATTGAGTCTCTTTTTCTCTCTGTGTGTGCGTGCGTGTGTGTGTGTGTGTGTGTGTGTGTGTGTGTCTGATGTGGGAGTGTCTTTTGCCCTAGTTATTCAAAAACATTCTCTTACTCAGACAGAAATGCTGAGAGACTTAAGTGTTGAGTTTTTGGGGGGGTCTTTCTTTCTGAGCTTGTAAAATAAACAATGGAAATAACAGAATTGTTTTTCATTTTCCTCGGAGCAGCAGTTTTGGTCTTCTATGGAGGAAAATTGCTGCTCTTTAGCAGGATGCTTTTTCCAAAACGGTGGTTTCCTCTGCCAGAAGCCTTCTTCACATCCATGGGAGAATGGGCAGGTGAGCAGCATGTCTGTCTTCTAATGTGACTTATACTGTGATTTATGCGAATGGGTCACATATGTGTTTTATTTTACATTTTATTTTATTTTTATATCGCTTCATAGTGCAACTGTCTTTGTTTAATTTTTATATCATTTATTTTATTTACTTTTCAATATGTTTTTATATGATTGTCTAATTGATGTCGGTATCTCATCTGTGTTCTTTGTCTAAAACAGGTCTCTCTTGTAAATGAGTCCTCGAGGCTCAATGAGACTAACCTGTACAAATAAAGGTTGAATAAATAATAAGACAACAGACGGAAGGCACGAAACAAGAACATCAGTTTATTTGTGCTCACATGCAGTAAACATATTTGGCAGCAAAGTTTTTGAGGACATAAAATGCTCAATTTTGTTTAAACCTTTTATAGTTACACAGGATTGCACTTGTGCAATTTTAAACTTTGAGATGCAAGTTCTGAATTTCATTCGAGGGGACTTTTTATTATCTGTAAAGCAAAAAAAAAAAAAAGGGCAAATTGTCCGTACTGAATCAACAAGTAACATCAAGCCTAAAGTTACAAACGTGTCATTCATCTCAAAATTACTTGCCCAAGATATGAAAAAGTTAACAGTTAGATTGGAAAAAGAGGAAGCCTTTGAAGGTATTTTTTTATTACAATACACTTTTTTATAAAAATCCTTTGAAGTTTGTGGACAGAAGCATTTAGGCGTAATAAGTAAAGCAATATTTCTTCCTCCAACTGGTGCAACAAATTCAAACTGGTATTTTCCTATAAAATGTCATTTTAACTTTATGTCAGCTGTAAGCACACCCAGTCAGACTGTTTCCCATTGAAATTCCTCTGCTGGTCCCAGAACAATTTCACAATGTTAGGAGATTTACTTTGGCATGCTCTGAAGGGGTTATACAGTCTCCCACAGTGCTAAAGGAAATCTCTCACAGAACATAATACTGATTTGTCCTATAAAGTCTGATCACATTCCATTCCAGGACAGGGTCAAACCACCAGGACACTGTGTTCTGGGCAGCACAAAATCCATTTCTCTGCATTTAAATTATATAAGCATAAAACTTGGAGTGTTATAAATGGCTTATTGTGTGCTTTATAGTCCACTTTTTAGTTGCCATGACAAATTTGCTTTTAAGATTCTGTATGGGCTTGTTAGACATCCTTCCATCCATCATCTTTACCCGCTTCTTCCTTTTTGGGTCGCAGGGGTCACTGCTGCCCATGTCCAGCCATCATTGTGCAAGGGGCGGGGGACACCCTGAACAGGTCTCCAGTCCATCACAGGGACACATAGAAACAAATGAGACAAACAACCATTCACTCTCTCACTCACACTTAGGGACAATTTAGAGTTACTAATCAGACTAACATGCATGTTTTTGGTCTGTGGGAGGAAACCGGAGTACCCGGAGAAAACCCACGTATGCACATAGAGAACATGCAAACTCCACCCAGAAAGGCCCCCGGACTGGGATTTGAACCGACGCAACCTGCTCGCTGAGAGGCAACAGCTCTCTAACTGTGCCACCGTGCTGCCGCTTGTTAGACAATTTAACTTAAATATTTTAATATGGTTTCAGCTGTCCTGATGCATGCTCAGTAATCCAGGTAGATACATTTCACAAGGTTGAGTCTGATGCACACAGGTTCACATGCCAAAGGGAGGACCATCAGCCTAACAATTGATCGTTAGTGCCCTGATGGCTGCCTGCTATTCACAGACGGCTGAGTTCTACTTGCAATAACAGCATTGTAAGAGGGTGACAGTTGAAATGTGTGAACACGTGAACAACTAGTTAGACTGAAGAAGTCTTCTGGATAAAAGATGAAACGTTTCAACAAAGAAGAACCCGTCCTGAGGACCTGACTCAACCTTGTTAGATGGTTTCAGCTGGTTTATTATGAATTTTAGTTTTATTATTTGTATTTATCAAAGACATCTATTTGAGCGGTTTGTCTTTATTTGTTAATTTAGGTCTTTGATTCATATTTCTTCATATCCATTTGACATTTAAAGGTAAAAGTGTGCAAAGTGATAATAATTATCTAATTATCTCAACAGGTCTGATTTTTGTCTCTGCTCTGAATCAGCATCTGTTCATGTTCACGCTCCATCTGTTGATTTGCACCGAGCTTTTCCCACTCTTGTCAAACAATCTGCAAACACCAGCTAACATCTGGATTTTGGTAATTTTGTTTGGCATTCAGTCCTGAGTCAGGTGTCTCAGCCCTGGTTATCAGCTCCAGTGGGCGTACTGTAGATGGTACCAGAACACACGGGTGTATTTACTAATGTTCACTGAAGATACTAGTGAGCACATTAAACAAACAACTGTAATATCTCACATGGAGGTTATGAAAGTGATGGAAATTACTTGTGGGTAGAAACGATAGCATTAATCTGTTTACAAGACAACTAGTTCCCCAATATGCCAATAAAGGACTACATTTCTTTGTCCAGTCAAAAATATCAATCTTACATAGCAATGCAAATAATAATAATATTAATAATAATAATAATCCTCAGTTTATTCCAGAAAGTTCAGTGCAGCTGTAGCGTGCTAGCAGTTATGCTCAGTAGATATTATTTGATATTTGTGGGGAAAAAAGAGTTAAAAGAAGAACTTTCTGGGATAAATATGTTAGTTTCTCATTTTTTGTTTGGACAGGGTATGTTATCCCCAACAGCTAAACAAGACGTTGCTGCCATCAGCTGTTCCACACACGTCAAATCGTTTGTTCATGTTGTCCACAGACCATTTCTGTCAGCTTTAGAGCCTCTATGTGAGAGGGCCCAAGTGTTAAATGTGCATTTATGTTAAAACAAAAGTCAGCTATGACCAGTCTTGTAGTCCAAAATGCAGAAAAATTAGTGTAGTCACCTGAATACAACTGTAAAGTAAAAGAGAAAAACAACCTAATATACTGTATGGCTACTTAAAGCTCTTAACTTGCAGATATCGTTTTTATAGAAGTGTTTGCTGTTTATATACATATATATATATATATATATTTTTTTTTTTTTTTTTTTTTTTTTATGGTATCAGAAACCTCTCACATGTCTACCTGTCAGTAATTTCATTCATGTAACAAAATGTGCAAAGTTTTACAAGTATCCAAAAGTAAGAGTGTAACGGCATCCAACAAAACCAGGATGTCGACATAAATAATGTTCTGATGTATGCTCAATAAACCAGGTAGATAAATATGACAAGGTTGAGTCTGGTCCTCTGGACGGGATCTTCGTTCAAGAAGACCTGACTCAACCTTGTTAGTGTAAGTAATGATTGGCAAACAGAGTTTCATTCATGTTTAATCCTGGATGAAGGACTGTGTAATTATCAATGTGATGTCTTGGTTCAATCGCAGCTGCTTTCAAGAGAGAATAATTATTAGACTTTAGTTTCATCATTTTCGAAAGCGGTCACAGGATTAATAGAGGAATTCTTTGCCTTTACAGTTGAAATGAAAACAAGCTCAACATAAAAAGTGTGTCTTGCTCAGCTTCACTGACATCTGGAACACAAACAGCTGTATTTATAATTTTTCAATATGTGTATTTACCATCAAAACAACACAATACGGCAGGATTACCGTTTCAGAAAATAATACTAATAATAATACTGATGCTGTTGCCGCAGAACATTTGTTTCATGTACTCTGTTGTTTTGTTAAAGAAATTAGACATTTAGCAAAGATCTGCTTGCAATTTAAAATAAATTGCAGATAACTGTCACATCGGATGTGCAAAATATTTAAAATATCTTGTTAAATTATGAGTCTGATATATCTGCACAGCAATGCATTATTATAAAAAGGCAACGCTTGTGTTCTCTGTAATTTCTATATCAATTTCTTAATGTCTGCAAGTTTAAAAACTGTTCATACTTATAGTATATAACACCAAGAAATGCATGCTTAAGGATATTTATAGGATTGCAAGTGAGAAAGATAAAAAATAATAATAACAAGCAAGAAATGTGTTATTTCTTTTAATAAGATATTGTTTTTAAAATTTCTGACTTACAAATGATAAATCAGTCCATACGTACTTAAACTGGAAAGTTTAAGATTATTACCAGGAGTTAGTGAAGGCTAACTGACTTTTAATTAAAAAGAAACTCAAATTTTATTACATATTTTGTTAACAAGTGAAGGAAAAAGTCAACATTTATTAATTGCTTCAGCCTCACGTGAGTCACTAAACTTGTGTGTTGAGTGGCAGCCCCATGATGTCATCTTTTAATTTTTGATTTCATATCTTTCTTCATCAGACATCAAACTGTACACACAATTATCAGAATGCAGTTAGAGTTGATTTTCAAAGATTATTGTGATTTCTTTGTTTCTTGAGGCTCACTGCAGTTATATTTTTTATTAGCTGGTATGAAGATCAAGTATTAGTAAAACCTGGGCCGGATTTTAGCAGGGGCTTACAGGGGCTGCAGCCCGGGATGTTTTATGTTTTTGTGAATGGATAGTGTCAGAATTTAATCAATGACTATGATGATTTTGACAGCACCGATGAAAAATGTTCCAATTTGTTCTGGAAAACGTCCATCTTGAATGCTTGCTTGTTATTGGTCCACTTTTGACGCATCTTACGCATTGGGGAGGAGCGTCAGGGAATATTATTTTACAATGGCAGACAACAGTGTTTGTGGTTCTAGTTCCTCCAAATAAGATGAATGCAGAAGTGTCATAATAAATGGAAATCTGTATTTTGTTCTTCATATTTTTAAGATGTTCTCTGTAAAAACCTTGGTCTATATGTATATATATATGTATATATATATATAAATATATATATATATATATATATATATATATATATATATATATATATAGGGCCCCCATATACAGTATTGACTCCAGCCCAGGGGCCCCCATCCTGACTCCAGCCCAGGGGCCCCCGTCCTCCTAAATCCGGCCCTGAGTAAAACAATCTAGTTTTATGAGCAATAAGGGAGTTGAGTCACTTTATAAGAAGAGTTCAATTTTTCCACTTTACAAATCCCTTTTTTTCCCGTCATTAAGTTTTCATCCTCAACATTAGACCTGAGAAGAGGTCTAAACATAAACAGTTAACCATTTCTATTCAGAGAGAAACCGGAGAGCAGTAAACGCTTTGAAACAAGTCATTTCTGTCTGTTCTCCACTACGTCTTTATCAGAATTGGAGAACATGCTGTTTCAGCACACCATGTAATAACAGACAGGGTTAAAGAGCAAATAAACACAAACAGAGCTGTGGTTTGTCTGACAGGGGTCAGGAGGAAGCGTGCATCTGTGGGTGACAGCGCCTCCGGTGGTTAAACTGGAAACTGCAGGAGAGCAGAGCATCTGGCAGATTTCATCTCTGACTCTAATCTTTGTGTTTCAGTGGTGACAGGAGCTTCAGAGGGGATAGGAAAAGCTTACGCAGTCGCAGTGAGTCAACGTCTGAACGGCACCGGTTGTGTTTGTTTGTGTGATAAGCATTTGCACATAAGGCTGATGTTTGGGACTGACTGTGCTGAATGTTTCCGCTGAACTTACTTTTTATTCAACCCCCATGCACCAGTTATTGCCTGATATTTGTTTCCTCTCTCATCGTTTCAATCATTACGTTTTTATCTATCAGCTGGCCGAGCGTGGAATGAATGTCGTTATTATAAGCAGAACAAAAGCAACACTGGATCAGGTGGCGGAAGAAATAGGTATTAACCCTCGTGTTTTATTCCTGTAAAACATGTAAGATCAGTAAAAACATCCAACTCTAAAAAAATCATATTGTTTTTTTTTTTTTCTGTATAGGTGAAAAAACAGGACAGAGGGTGAAAGTGATAGTGGCAGATTTCAGCCAGGACGACATCTATGGTGAAATTGAAAAGCAGCTTAAGGGCCTCAGCATTGGGGTTTTGGGTCAGGCATGCTTTTAATTTGTATTTTATTTTATTTTATTTGCATACTTAATGTTTAGACCATCAACGCAGTGGTGTAGTCTATGTGAAATGTGGGTATATGGAGTATACCCATTAAGAAAGCTTGGGAATTTCAGTATACCCACTTAAAAGTGCTCACTGATATGTGACGTATTATTGGGTTTGTGTCATTGTGAACAAATAAAGAACATTTTATAGAAACATTGAATCATAGCATCAGAGAAATTGTGAAATGTTCAATATGCTTAAAAATCAAAATAAATTGACGATTACATTGTACTAACTGGTGTACTTCGGTTTCAAAGCACAGTATACCCAGTACAAAAATGTAGACTATACCACTGCATCAATGAATTCCTTATACATCAAACACTGGGAATATGATCATTATTAAGGACAGCCGAACATGTCAAATCTTATTATTGCCTAAAAGATACATCATGTTCCTCCTTTTCCACTCCAGTCAACAACATAGGTGTTCTTCCCACCTTCATCCCCTCTAAATTCCTTGATTCTGCAGAGCTTGACACAGTAAGTACTACTTAAACAACTGCTACAATAAAGCCTAATTATATATA